CGCCCGGCCCCGGCGTTCCTCCCTTTTCACAGAGCTGACTTCTCACCTGGCATCGCTCGCGACTGACCCGAAGGACACGCTTGCGCGTTTGCGGCACAGCTCTGCTGGTGACACTTGCGGCTCTCGTTTCTGTGTCATCTCAGCCACGTTTATGTGAGTTCGCGGCGATGTCTTCCCACTGCCTTCTGGCCTCTCCTGTATCTTCCTAAAGTCACTCGTCATTTGAATGGTTGTTCTCCCGCAATCATGTCTTTTCTCCCGATTACTTTCTAGATTTCCTCTTAATCTTTGGATTTCAGCACTTAGACTACTATGAAATTAGGTGAGACCTTTTTTATATTTGTTCTGCCTGGCGGGGGGGTCACTGAACTTCTGGAGTCTGGAAGCCGGTGTTTTACGTCAATCTGAGACATTTTCGATTCGTTTCTTCAAATGGTCTTTCTGTTCTTTTCTCATTCTTTTCTTTCTCGTATTACAAGCGTATGAACCTCGTACCACGGATGCTTGAGGTTCTGTTAATTTTTCTTTAATTTTTGTTTCTCTCTTCTTCGGTTTGGTCAATTTCTCCTGGTCTCTCAAATTCACAGACTCTCTCTTCCTTCTCCAACCTGACGTTAAGCTCATCCGGAGAGTTCATTTTAGTATTGGAATTTTCAGTTCTAGAGTTTACATTGTCTTTTTTTAAAAAAAGATTTTTGGAGAGCAGTTCAGGTCCAGACAAGAGAAAGGTACAGTGGGGTCTCCTGTAACACCTGCCCCCATCCTCGACGTCTCCGCCAGAGCAGTGCGTGTGATACAGCTGATGAGCCTACACCAAAATGTCATCACCCCCAAAGTCCCTGCACAGTTTATACTAAGGCTCACTCTGGTTTGTACCATCTGGGAAAATGCACAACCACGCATCCCTACTAGTACAGCACCGCAGAGTATAAACTAGAAACCCTCCGTGCTCCACCTGTTCAACACTCTCTCCCCCAACCCCTGGAAACCACTGATCTTTCTACTATCTTCATAGTTTTACCTTTTTCTCTCTTTTTCTTTCTTTTAAAGAGACAGGGTCTCCGTCACCCAGGCTGGAGTGCAGTGGCGTCATCACAGCTCACCGCAGCCTCCAACTCCCGGGCTCAAGTGATCCTCCTGCCTCAGCCTCCTGAGTAGCTGGGACTACAGGTGCCACCATGCCCAGCTACTTTTTTTATTTTTATAGAACTGGGGTCTCATATGTTGCCAAGGCTGATCTCGATCTCCTGGCCTTAAGCCATCCTCCCACCGCCTCAGCCTCCCGAAGCACCAGAGTCACAGGCGTGAGCTGCCCGGCCTTCGTCACTTTCAAAAGACAATTTTGCAGAGTGCAGGACTTAGGTTGGTGATTTTTCTCCTCCATCAACACTTTAAATATTCCACTCCACTTTCTTCCTGCATTCACAGTTTGAGGAGTTGAATGTAATTCTTATCTTTGGTCCCTGTAACTTGAATGATTTTTCCTCCAGCTTCTGCCAAGATTTTTTTAACTTTGATGCTCTGAACTTTGATAACGATATGCCCAGGTGTAGTGTTTTCCTTTGTTGCTTTTTGGTTTTGTCTTGTCTTCTCCATTTATCCTGCCTGGTGTTCTCCGAGCTTCCTGGATCTGTGGGGTTCGGTGTCTGACGTTCATTTGTGGAAATTCTCAGTCGTCATTGTTTTAAATCTTTCTTCTGTTCCTCTCGCCCTTTCTTCTCCTTCTGGGATTCTCATCGCGCGTACGTTACGCTGAGCTGTCCCCCAGTTCTTGGATGTTCTGCTCTTTTCAGCAGTGCTGTCTTTGACCTTCAGGGTGAAGTTAGAGTTGGATGTGTCCCTCCCCCAGGCCAGGTGGGCACAGATAAGACCCCAACAGGTCAGTCTCTAGTCAATCCATCCTCCTGAAGGCAGACCCTGATACGGGGGCCCTGGCAGGGGTCAAACGGTCCTGTGTCCCCTTCCCCTGCCAGAAGCACAGGGACTTTTCTCTGACATTTATTAATGCTTTGGGAACCTGGTTGAGCTCGTGGAGGCAAATCCCATGGGGACCCCGTGTGACCAAGCCTGGCTGCCATGTGGCTCTCAGACACGTTGGCGCCCAGCATGCGGCTCTTGTCCATCACAGTTGGGGTTTTCCGGTCCCAGCACTGGTCCCTCGGGGACGTCCGGTTTCCATGGACTTTCTGCTCCGGTTTGCTGTGACCCCGTGTCCACCTGTCTCTCCCTCCAATTTTGGGGATAGCACTTTGCTCTGTGACTGCACTTTTCTCACAAATCTAAGAAGAACTGTTGATTTTTCCAGTTTGTTCAGCTTTTTACGTGTTATCAGGTTGGAGTGGTGACTGCCAGGCTCCTCAACACGCAGAACCTGAACCTCCCTTATGTCCATCACTAAAAAAATATTTTTCCCTTTCTCTGCTCAGCTCACGTATTAACTTTTTTAGTTCTTGGAGGTATTTCAACTGATTCCTTGAACAAATATTCATAATGGCGGATTTGAAAACCCTGTCTTCTGCCATATCCAACACCTAGGACAGTCCCACGTACGGTGTGACACCTGCCAGAGGACCTGCATGTCATGGGCTCACCCCCTAGGTTCTCTAAGGACGGCGGCCTCCTCTTTCCACGCGGTTTTGCAGCTGCTCAGAGTGGCCGCACTAGCTGGTGCCAGTTATTTCAGTATGGCTAGAAGCAGAAGTCTTAGCTGTTCTTGCAATTCTACAACTACAGGAAAGTTTCACCAGTCGGAGACTAGCATTACAACCTTCCCGATTAGATTTTTTCTAGAAACTGTAAACGTCAGGAGCATTTTCTCAAGAGCAACGGGCAGGAGAGGAGTTCTAACAACCGCTCCCAGCAACCAAGGAGGACGGACAGAGAACGAAGCTAAGATTCCGTTCGAGCGTGGTGTGAACACGCAGACGACCACCAAGCACAGGACAGTCTGTGAACAAAAACTTTCGTGACGACGGCAGTGACATTTATGATCCCACAAAACTGTCCCATGACACCACTAGGACTCTTGATGAACGTTTACAAAATGTATTAAATGGTTTGCATGAAAATACTAGTCGACTAATTAAATGCAAATGTCTCATCACAATAACATTGCCAATGATGTTCTTTTACATTTTGCAAGACATTTGTATAACAAGCTTTGCTTTTTACCACATATGATCCAATAACATTCCCCGGTGGACGGACTCAACACGCGAGATACGCTCACACGTGAGTAACCGCGCTGCTTCTTGCATGTTAAACTCATCACTTCTCTTGTAAAACGGGCAGAAAAATGCCTGTTTCCCCAAATACTGCCTAGTTCCAAGATCTTGTTAAAAATATTTTAAGCGGGTTGTTATCCTTGTAAGCCCATTTTGTTTGTTACACAAAAAAAACAAATAAAAGTATTTTACCATGTTATAAATTTTGTCAAATTATAACCATGAACTAAACAGGGTTAAGTGTATCATTTTTAAATAGTCTCAAATTATGTTCTGTGGCTTAACATAAAGAAAGGAGGGAGGCTAAGCCCATTAGCAGAAAGGACTCCTTTGCCTACGAGAACAGTGTATTCTTGAGATGAAGAACATTTATCTATAAATAAAAAAAAGTAACAAAAAACCAAAAGCACACACTGTTCAAGTTCTGTTCTATAAAGCTGAGTACTTTCACTTTCAAAGGCACATAAAGGTGAACGCCAAGGAGTTGTGTGAAATATTTCTACACACTTGGTCACAGCTGATACGAGGTGCGTCCATTGCTCCACTGCTGGCCAACACTCTACGATGAACTTAAAAATATAAAAATACCCCAAAAAATGTTGTACGAGTCCAATATTCTTTCTATTTTTTAAAGACAGCATCTTACTCTGCCACCCAGACTGGAGAGCAGTGGGGCGATCACAGCTCACTGCAGCCTCGAGCTCCTGGGCTCAAGCCATCTCCTGCCTCAGCCTCCCGAGTAGCTGGGACTACAGATACTCACCACCACAGCCCGCTAATTTTTCTATTTTTTGTACAGATGGGATCTCACTATGTTGCCCAGGCTGGTCTTGAACTCCTGGGCTCAAGCGATCCTTGCAACAATCTGACATGAATGTCAGAACCAAAATCACAGGACAAAACGTCAAGTAGGTGCCATCCTGCTTGTTTCCAAGAGATACCTGGATAATTCAACTCCCTGCTTCACTGTGGTTTTGAAGACCATGAGATATAGTTTATAACTACTTAGATGGAGTATAACAAAGGATGTGGGTAGTTATGCAAAATTCAAGGTTAAATAAAAGCTGCATCACTTAATGGAAATATAAATCATTTAGATTTATTCAATCATTTAGATCAGGGGTTGGCAGGTCTTGGACCAAATCCGGTCTGCTGCCTGTTTTTGTCAATACAGTTTTACTGGTACATGGTCACACCCATTCACTGATATTGCCCATAGCTGCTTCCAAGCTACGACAGCAGAGTTGAGTAGTTGTGATAGAGACCTATCACCTACGGATACCAAAATACTATCTAGCACTTTACAGGCAAAGTTTGGCAACCCTGATTCAAGTAACTGCCTAAATTGACCAATTGACTTTTGCGCTTAAGCAATGCAACAATGTAGCACATTTATATGATAAAGACTTGAGAATATGTATATACCAGTCTAAGCAGAAGGTCTAATTTTGATCAGAACTAAAGAGGCACAAACTCTTCTCTTTTCCATATGAAGAATTAAATGAATAAAACTTCATAAGATTTTAAAAGTGTCTATCGTATGTTTGAATCCTGATGAGTTTAAAATATGCATTTAGACAGATACACCCATAGTAATGTTAACTCTCCTTTACAATTTATGTTAATTTATGTACTGTTTTGGACGTCTGGTTCACAAAATCTGAATTATAGCACCGTTATTTTGAAAGCTAAAAACCCGACTGCTGGGCCAGTGGTCACTTAACACGGTGACCAACTGTCACGTGCAAGAAGCAGACGCCGGAGCCCGCCGCTCACCTGGAGGAGTGTAGGCGTCCATCGAGGTCTGCACGACCAGCGACCTGCGTTTGGACGGCATGGGCACCGCCATCTTCCTCTCCTTGTGTTTGGCAAGGGCGGCCTGGACGGCTTCCGTGTGGACGTCTGCAACAGAGAGAGCCGTCACCGCCCCGCCTGGCCGGGCTCCCGAGGCCCCGCGTCCGTCCTGTGCCCGGGCCTGGTTCTTCTCCTCCGGTAACTCACCCGCGGGTGGGCAGGGACAGAGGAGGAGTTTGAGCCTGTGAGTTGGAAAAGCTCCTGGGAGAAGACATTAAAATTCATCCACAGATAATTCATTCAATTATTTGTTTTATTACCGCAGAATCTATGTAAATAATCAAACACTGGCTACAAACAGCTCTGTGACTTTTCCTGGGGGAATAGACCTCGGTCTTTGGAGATTTCCTTACAAATCACGTTTAAAAGCCTCACACCGCCCCCCCCCCCCCGTTGTGCTGCTGAGGGAAGTGAGTGCGCCTCACACACTTGGTGACCAGCAACGGCCCCAGCGCACCGCGCACTCGGTTACGGGCTGGGCACCGTGTTGGGCACCTCACGGCTATCAGCGTGCTGACCGCACGCCCACTCCATAAGGAGGTTCCTGGGGCTGGGACATGGTGGTGAGGTGGACACAGTGCCCTTGCTGACAGACAGGAGACAGGTAACTGACGATCAAAGCGGGTGGAGAATCAGAACAAGACAGAACAGGGAGGGACAGTGCGAGCGAAGACCAGGGAGGGGGTCGGGGACCAGGCTGCACAGCCCGGCCCTCCGTGGGACGCGATCTGATTTCAGTTTGGTGGGGTCAGAGAAGACCAGCAGGGAACCAGCCAAGGCCAGACAACCCTCCAGACATTCTGACAACCCTGAGGCTGCGCTCGTTCTACTCCCACCTCGCGAACGAGGAAACAGAGTCCTACACCCGGTGAGCGGCACTGCTGGGATTTGAACCCAGCCGCGACTGCTCCCGGGGCCTCCTGACGCCTCTCCTGAGCCTGTAGATGCCCAGATCCTCCAGGAAGCCGTGGACGTTCAGAGCAGGGCTCGGCCAGCCGCAGCCTGTGGCCAAATCCAGCCCCCGTCTCCTTTTGCAAATGTCTGTTGGGACATAGTCGCACCGTCCACGCACATGGAGTCACGGAGCGGAGCTCGGGGCCATGGTTGTGGCCGCGCCAGCCCCGAAAGCTGGAAACACATTTGCTCTCTCCCCCTCCCCACAATACTATAATCCCAAATCCACACCCAAATGGGGTCAACCGTCCCAGCAACTTCCTTTGTCTCCCTGTGACCTGACCCAGGGTCATGGGCTGCATCTGCCTATCATCGTACTTCTACTCTCCATGAATCCGGAACAGTTTCTCGGCTTCCGTGTTCTCCAAAATTGGAAATATTAAAAAATATGGCCGTTATTCTGTGGCTTTTCTTTCAATTGGGGTTTTTTGACATTTCCCTAGTGATTATACTCAGATTACGCAGCTTAGCAGGGACACTGCAGAAGTCTGTCCTCTGGGGTGAGGGTCACTTTGATCACCTGAAGTGGCATCTGTCAAATTCCTCCAAAGTGCAAAGGCTACGTCTCCCCCCGCAATTAACAAGTAATTTGGCTAGCACTTGGGGAGGCCAAGGCAGGAGGATTGCTCGAGGTCAGGAGTTGAAGACCAGCCTGAGCAAGAGCAAGACCCCGTCTCTACTAAAAATAGAAAGAAATTAGCTGGACAACTAAAAATATATAGAAAAAACTAGCCGGGCATGGTGGCGCATGCCTGTAGTCCCAGCTACTCGGGAGGCTGAGGCAGGAGGATCGCTTGAGCCCAGGAGTTGGAGGTTGCTGTGAGCTGGGCTGACACCACAGCACTCTAGCCCGGGTGACAGAGTGAGACTCTGTCTCAAAAAAAAAAAAAAAAGTAATTTGGGAGGAGACACGTTGATGCCACCCACACGTTCTGCTTTTCGATCGTTCACCTGCAAGTTTTAGCATCACTAGTGATTTCCTGACTCTACCATTCCTTCTAATTCACCAAATACTCTACATTTGTTTAAAAAAAAAAATGAGTATTTTCCCTTCTACTCGTTCATTTACATATATCAATATGTACCCATGAGGTCAAATTTAATGGCTATAATTCCTGACAGTTGCTTTTCATTTGCTGCACGGAGGCAGCCCCTCACCTGGCCAGTGTCCCCTCGGCAGGTCCCCCACGCGAGAACACTTTCTCACCATCTCCAATACACAACATCCCAGACTATCCTGTGCTCTCCCCGTCCCAGCCCTGCAGTCAGCAGACCCAGCTCCTCGTGGGACAACACCACACGGAAAGCAAGATCTGGGCACCAGCCATGCGGACCCAGGACCCAAATCCCAAAGGGGACCCCCTGGTCCTTTCTCTTCATGAGTCTATGTTGACTCAAGTCAAAAGTCTGAATAAAGTCATTGAACAGATAAAAATTCTTAATATGCTGAGTAGAAAATCCACTTTCCTTTTGGTTTCTTTACATAGATTGCAACTTGTTTCACTCTGGAAAAACTAGCGTCCTGTAGTGTAACAAGCGATGGATGTTTGGGGATAAAAATGCAAAGAATCAGAACTTCAGCCCCCAGAGAAAAGGGGTAGCATAAAAATTCACCCTTTACGTTCGACGTTGTTACAGCTGTCATGAGTATTCTAGAACACTGTGCGCACCTACGGGTTTAAACCTTAAGAGAAGCTCACGTGTCCCCTGCCCTCCTCTCCTGAAGTCGTAAAATCACAATCCGATTCCCGGAGCTCCTGTCACTCGCACAGTTCATGACGTCATAGGACTGATGACGTGCATGCGGACTGTGAGGGGGCAGCCGCCCCACCTCATAGTGACAGTGGACCACAGTGGGGACTGCTTGGCTTCATGACGGCAGAGCAGTGGCGACTGTAGGTTCTGGAGCAGGACAGCACGAGTTCAAATCCCGGTTCCTGAGTGTGACCATGGGCAAGCTACTTAACCTGCCTGTGCCTCAGTTTCCCTGGGTACAAATTGGGAATAACGAACAGCTGTCCGGGGGTAGGTGTGACGGTCAAATGACTCAACACAGCAAGGCTCAGGGCAGAGTCCTACACGTGTTCGGTCTGGTGATGGTGCGGTTCAGCTCTGCTGCAGATCTGTGGGTTACCGACACAGGACGCTGAAATCTCCCGCTGTGACAGTGGGCTGGTTTCTCTCTCATTGGTGTTTCGTGGGTTCTTGAATTAACATATTTTGGTGCTTGTTTCTGGGTACGTATGTGCCAAGGATTGTTATGTCTTCTGGGGAAATGACCCCTTTCTCGTTATGTACAACCCTCCTAATCCCCAGCAACTTTTCTTGCTCTGAAGTTGTCTCTGCTGGAATGACTATAGCTATTCCTCCTGTCTTCTGATGGGTGTTACAATGTTACTTTCTTATCCCTTCACTTTAATCCATCCATGGCTGCATTAAAAGGGTTTGCTGTAGACAGCATATAATTGGGTACTGTTTTTTATTCACTCTCAAAGTCTGTGTCTTTGAATTGGTGCTTAGATCACTGAGGTGTAAAGTGATTGATATTTGGATCAATGGCTAGATATTTGTTACTGGTTTCTATTTGTTGTCATTGTTCTTTCACCTTCTGCTCTTTTTCTGCCTTTTCTAGTTGTATTGAGCACTTTGTACGATCCCATTTTCTTCTCTCTTACTGCATCAATTATACTTCATTTTAAGCTGTTTCCAGTGGTTGTCCGGGAGGAGGCAATTTGCGTTTATCACTAATCCAGGTCCGCTTTCGAATTGCACAGCACCAGCACACAGGCAGGGCCAGGCTTCGTAGCGTGCTCCCAGCACCACCTCCTGCCATCACTGCACTAATCCCTGTTGCCCTGCAACCACCCACTTCACTGCTACGATATTCCAACAAACTTAAAGACTCTATCTTACCCTCCTTTAGTCCTTCTCTCCCTCCTTCCTTTCTCTACTCGGACCTGAGTTTCCGACCTGCCCACGTCCAGTACTGGTGGCCCATCGGAGGCATTCTTCCTCCTCCCACAGTGTCTCTGCTTCTGGCACTGCGCGGACCCCCTGGTTTCCCAATCACACCGTCCACCCCCAATTTCAGGGCCGCAGTTTGCCCTACAACCTCAATTCTTTGGTGGTTCTAGGAAAAGTGGTTATTTTTAGTTTCTTCAGCTTTTTTCTTGAGAGGACAAGTGTGATGACTTTCCAGCTCCTGACGTGCTGGGCTGGAACCTGGAAATCTAGGCATTCTATTTCATTTTATTCTCTTCATTATCGTCTGAATTCTCCTTTCTGCGGACTTAATCTTTCTTTTCTAAAATCTTAAGTCAAATGCCTGTTTCTTCAGTTTCCAGCATCTCTTCTTACCTATTTTAGACTACGAATTTATTTCTAAGTACTGTTTTCACTGCATCTCATCAATTTCGATTCACTGTGTTTTGTTTTGTTTTTTTTTTTTTTTACCTGCAATACAATAGCTTCTTAACCTGTTCCTGCTTTCAGACAAGAACCTGACCCAATCAACCAATCTATCCCATGCATCTCTGCTACGTTGATGTTTCTAACATTTTCTATTTAAATGATGAGGCACAGATATCATGATTAAATTCCCTTTCTTTAGCCTAAGACAAACAGACCTTCAAACCCTGTCTTTGGCCTCAGTCCCACAGCCCCGGCCCAGAGCAGCATGAGCGCCAGAATCAGTGCTGGGCCGGCGGGGGTCACACTGCGCCGTCTGGCGTGGCAGCCGCTTGCCTGAAATTGGCTGGTGCAGCAGAAGGACAATTTCAACATTTTATTTAATCTTAACTAATTTAAATGTAAAAGGTCCCATGTGGTCACTGGCCACCGTTTTGGACGGCGCAGCTCTACACAGACGGGGCCTGTCGCCTGCGGTAGGGACGCTGAGCTGGCTGCACGGCCTGATCCGGCTGTACTGAGCACTCTTCTCTCCCGGCCCATCACACTCTAAATGAAGAGAGAAATAGCATTATCACACTGGAACCCACGATGGAAAAGCAGAGTTGTTCAGAGAGAACACAGGTCACAGAGCAGGCACCTCGTTAAAATCAGTAAATCCAAATCCAAGTTGACTCGAGAAAGACACACCTTCTCAATCTAGAAAATTAAACTTGAGCACTGAGGAAGAACTTGCTACAGGGTAAGTCCACCAGCAAGGACAACACCTTCTGTATCTCTGTCTCACCTACAGCACAGAGTGCCCGGGACATAAGCCGTCTGCACATCTGTTGAATGATTGGATACCAGGATACAAGTCTATTCCCAGAAATTGACATCGCCACGATTCATACTTTAAATTCTACCATCAGCACAAAACCAGCGTAAGGGATGGGCTCAGGGGCAGGAGTTTCTAGTTCACATTAAAAAAATGACACAAAAAATCTTATGACAATGATTCTCAAACTCTCTGCCCCAAAGAACAATTTAAACACCTAAAACTTGCCCCCAAATTAAATAGCTTTTGCCAATGGGGTTAATATTTTGATATCTGTAGTATTTGAAAGTAAACTGAAAAAACTTTTAAAACACAGCACTTCACAATCACAATCCACCAGCTGTCAGGACACCGCATGTCACGCAGCCTCGCGACTCGTGGAGGGTAGGAATGGAAAAGGCAGATCTGACAGTGCTACTCTGCAAGCAGTTTGGCCTCACAGATGCTTCTGGAAGGTCTCAGGATCCCACAGGGGTCCCTGGACTCTGTCTGAGGTTCGTTGTCCTAGAGGGACGCAGGCATGCGGCACGTTCTAGCCCAGCGACAGCAAGGCTGAGACTGAGCTCCCGATCACCCAGGCAGCTACTGCTGTCTGTGCACACGTGCAAAGTGTAAGAAATGCTTTTTACAACCGTTTCTATGCTCATAAAAAGACAAACAATTCTAACCATATTAGGAAACAGTAGGCTGCATGTGAATTTTAATATTCTTCCTTGTCACAGGCAGCCTTGGTTGGAATGAAGGCAACACAAATCGCAAGGTTTTCTCTTCTGGGGCTATTGGTTGGAAAGGGTGTTAAAAAAAAAAACTAGAATTTAAGCTCTAATTTAGACTTTATCAAGCAAAGGCAATAAAATGTCCTGAAATAGAGTCTGATGCATCACTGTTCATTCATTCACTTCCCAAATCAAACTGACACTCCAAAAGGAAGCTATTTAAAAAGAAGAAAGGTGCATAGTATCATAAAGAATTCTAAGAGCTCATTACAGCGTGAGGTCGTAGGTTTAGAAATGAAATGGAAAAATACAGCCAGGAGAGACTAAATCAGAGACTACAGGGCTGACAAGACTGACTGTTAATTAGGCCAATAATCTAAGAGACAACAGACGTATTTCTCGGCCGATAGAACCAAGTGGTCCTGCTGCAAGATGAAGGGTCGCAGTTCCAGTGAGAGACTCCTGAGGATGGCAAACTTTCCTCGTGAAGGTCTTCAGTCTTCCAAGTTGGCCCAGGAGAAAAAAGAACCAGAAAATTCTGAAATATGTACACCGGCAATAGACTAAAATGAGCTCATCGCACCTCACAGCTCATTTTTAAAACGACATGTGAGGATACACTCTGAGAAAATCAACTATAGTTTATCAGTTTGTAACAATTCTCACGGTATCGTCCGCACAGTAACTGAATAGCCGCGGCAAACCCACCATCTTTCCCGCAAACAGGAACCCGGCTCTGTGGCGGCAGAGAAGTGGGTGCAGAGGCGGGGACCATCACCTGCTCAGGTGTAACACTCAGACATCCGGGAGTCACCCTGGACTCCCTCTCACGCCCCGTCAACTCGGCCCTGAGGTCCTGCCGTCACCCCCTTCTAAACACATCTCAAACCCCTCTGGTCCTGGCTCATCTCCAGACACACACCAATCTCGGGTCCTTCGGGCTCCTCCACGTCTAATCCACACCCCACAATGCTCCGGGGAAGCATCTCCAAACCCTAAACCGGCTCCCACCGTGCCTCTGCCGCAGCTCTCCAGGGGCACCTACAACCACAGGGTGACGTCCGAATTCCCAGCACGATGCCCAAGACACTTGGTGATCCAGCCCTTCCCAGCTGCTTTCTTGCCCCTCCCCAAGTGTGTTTTGTTCTCTCTTCCTCCTTCCTTGAAAAAACAGGAGCCAATATTTTAGGTGCTCAGCCTACACAAACGAACAAAGACCCTGCCTTTGGGGACCTTACCTTCTTCTGGGAGGAGATAAGTAGGTAGGCAGGTGACTGACAGATGAAAAGACAGATGACAGATGATGGATGGAAGATACAGGTGGATAAACGGACGCGTGCCCGTTAGCTGGGCAGGTAAGTAGGTGGCGGATGGATGGAAGATACAGGTAAACAGACGGTCAGCCCAAAGTAGGGACACGGCTGACGCACAGACACGTAGACAGACAGACAAAGAGCCAGGTGGTGACAACCGCGGCGGGTACCATGGACCAGAAGCAGAACGTGCTGAGGCAGAACAACATTTCACAGCTTTACTTGGGTGGCTGGAGAACTCCACACAGAGAGAGTACTCAGAACAGGATGACACCTTAATCTCAGCCTCAGTTTCCCCTTCTGACACATGAGACAACAGCAGCCACTTCACCTGCTTATCATAAAAACGGAATGAGAGAACGCCTGTGAAGAGCACTTTGAAAGACACAGAGTGACATGCCAATATTGTAGCACAAGCCACCGTCACCACCAGTTCACATGTGCCCCGAACCGGAGCCCCAGCAACAACCACAAAATTTACGGGTAATTTGCTTTTAAAAATTGCAAGTAGGGAAGCAGTGAGAATCAATTTTAATCTACATATTGGGAAAAGACTCTCAAAAAACTAATTAAAATATTACTTTTCTGTTGCTAAATTCAGAAACTGAAGCCGGCCAACCCCCGGTGACGGCTGCACCACCGAGGGTCCCGGGCAGCACCTCAGAGGCAGCTCGAAAACACAAAGGGAAAATCAACACGGCCAGGTGAAAGTTTAAGGATTTTCTTTTTGGAAAACTGTGCTTAAAAAGAAGTCACTGTAGACAAAAAAGGAAAAAAATGTATACTAGCAACCAAGATCATAAAAAATAAAATCAATTGTTTAATAGTAACACCTAAAAAAATGAGCAAAATTCAGCTCCCGAGAGATTATTACCTTTTTAATGATGAAATTCTAAACAGTGGACGACACAGTTCACGGCAGGTCACCGTGCCCCGAGAGGGCACGCCTGTGTACGAGGCGGGCGCTGTTTGTGCAAAGTCCAGCGTACGGCACCTCTGCGCCCACGGCTGCGGGTCACGCGCCCGCCACGCGGCAGACAGGAGCATCGCGCTGGCCTCACCCCAGCCCCCGCCTTACCTGACCGGTAGCGCTCATCTCGGGAGCCTGAGGACCGCCGGCGGTGGTAGCGAGAGGAAGAGGAAGGCGTAACGGGCGCCCGGCGCTCTTGAGGCAAAGCTTGGTCCACCCCTGGGAGTGAGAGAGAACAGCAGAGTGAGGGGGAGGCTGCACCCAGACGCGGGGGTCCCTCGGGAAGACACAGCCCTGACTCACTGCACTCCCCGGCAAGGTGGCAGGGGGGGCAGGCGCCCCAGCCCATGAGCGGGAGGGGAGTCTGACAACGTGGGACGGCCATGCC